ATGGAAGAGGAAAGGGAGAGAGACCCTCCTCCTCCCCCCGCTAACATATTCCTACGACAGAGGATGCCTTTTCCCTCTCCGGTAAGTCTCCTGAAAGGGGAAAGGTTTCATGCCCGTGAAAGGCAGCAGCACATTCCCTGACAACTAGTGCAATATGGAAGGGAGAAGCAGCACAGAATGGAGCAGTGAGGGCTCCCCCTGGGATAAAAAGGGCATGCTTGATTGGGAATCTGCTCTTAAAACAGGGGCAGGGGGCAGAGCCATCTGAGAGCCTGAAATGTTTCCTGCTCCCACCGGCAACCTCCTCGCCATTGCTTTTGAAATAAATAAATATGGAGATTCTGATGTCAAACATCGGCGGTCCTCCTCCCCCAAACTCTTGATTAGATTGTAAGACACCAAAATGAGGTGAAAATGGGGCTTAGGGTCCTGCACAGGAAAATGGGTGGGTTAAAATGGAAACGTCAGATAGGAATAGCTCCTGGTCTCCCCTGGCAAAGAGACATTTGTTCTATCTCTGTGTAATTTCTTTATACATTACTGCTGCCACAGTGAATCTCTATGTCCCTCCCACTGCATTTCACTCTCACTCTCTTCAGCAAGGCAATTTCTGGTGCATTTCAGGACAATATTAACCCATTCTGCTTTCTCTGTCAGTAAAAAACTTCATAATTTAAAAGCAATTTAAAAGTCAGTTCTAGCTACTGACTGGTGTAGACCACTATTTGCTTGTTAAATTTTACAAACGAATTGAATCTGCAGGTCTCATTCCATCAAATACATAGTTTCTCAGCAATTTATAGTCAGATGTGAAGTTAAATTTAGAGTAGACCCCAAGTATCTCCCTTACCATATATTCTCCCAATTTTAAATTCTTCGTCTTCCTCTTCATCCTAAGACCCGTCCAACTCTGCATCCTGCTTTTCCCTGACAGATGCAAAGCCAGCAGCAATCAGTTATGTGCTGGGCTATTGCCTCCTGCTGCAGCTGAGAGATATGCTATAGGCTGTTGCTGATCCTGGACCACAAAGACACAGAGACCCTTTCTTAATCTACTGATATTTTCACTGTGTGTTCAGAAGAACCTCCAGATTAAGACAGCGTGGGCAAGGCCCCTGGCAGAATCCTTGTGAAACCTTAGGACTAGGATATTAGGCAATTCTGCAGGACAAATGGGGGGAAAATGTCAGAATGGGAGGGTTAAAGAAAGAAAGCTAGGAAAGAAAGGAGGGGAATAAGGAAAAAAAAAAAAACACTTGCAAGATGCATATGAAAGGTAAGAAGAGGTCCAGAAGAAAATAGTAGCACGAGAAGGCAGTATAAGGAAGAGACGCAATGCGAGAATTGTGTGGCAGAAGCCTGCCTTCACCCTGCCTCACTCGCTGTCAGCTCTTCATTTTTGCCGAACATTGAAACTGCTCTTAACTCTTATGTGTTGTTCAGATATAACAAGCTGGAAAGGGAACAGACCAGCTCATTAATTTTCCTTGGGAAGGGTCTCTAGGCAGGAATTATTTTCTGCACCAACATCTATTCAATTACTTGCCTTCACACCAGTCAGATCTATAGGGATGTCTAACCCCATGTGCATCACTCATGCCTGCCTGCCCTGGACTCTGCTTTCCCTCCTTCTTGGTCTAAAAGCCTCCAAGAACAATCCTTTTCCTAATAATAATGACAACATGACAAAACCAATAACCTACAGATATAAAATACATTTCATTTGCTCACTTCATAAGACCCTGATTAGGCATCGTCACTCACTTTTTAGGATCCTGTAGGAGATTTACAGGAGCTAATGAAAAAAATTCAACATGGCATCACTCATAATAGTAATTGCTTTTAAAAATTATGTGCCTAAAAGGATTAGTTTGGAAGAGCTGCAGCCATTCCAAAGTTATAAGAGGTGCAGTCTGTATCCATCTGTGACATGATCTTGCAGATCTCAATTGCTTAGTGTGCATGTGTGCATGTTTTGAGCATATGCACTTAAAGATCCAAGAAAGACGGTTAACCTGTCTTCTTTTTTGAAGGACAAAGCTTTCTGAACGGCTCAGAGTCGTATTTGGACAATCCCAAAGTCTGAGAAAGAAATACCTCAGTGAAGATAAGAAACAGAATCAGAAGTGTGATCTGCAGCGATACAAACACCACCCTTCTGCTTTAGTCCCACTATTGAACTGGGGTTCTCTGTAGGACACAAGACGGAGGGGAAAGGAAACCTGATAGAGGAGGGGCAGCCAAAATGACATCCCTGTCATTTCTGCTCTGGTTAAGACAAAGATCTGAAAATACTGAATGAAAGTGCACTATGGGCACTGTAATGACTGAAAAGATGGGAACCCGAAAAATGAAAGCCTAGGAATCAAATTCTTAAAGACAATATAGCAATTTACAACACAGCATATCTAGATATACAGCCCAAGACTGAGTCCCAAAGTCCTTTTTTGCTATTGGATATCTTGGCCAAGATGAGATCTAGACAGGAGGAAGCTGGACCACTGCAGGGAGCAGAAAAGGCACTGGGAGGATGGAGCGACTGGCAGTATAGCAGCTGGACCATTTAACACTGCTGCTAGGTGAGGAACAGGGACGGTGGATTAGACTGTGGCCATTAATGGGGATTAACACAAAATGGCAGGAGCCCTGTAGAGAGGCAGGTGTAAATATCACAGTTGCACTGGGTCTGTGTATAGAAAAGACAATTTACCGAAATATTTTGAACACCAAGAGTCCTCATTTTTGGAGGATAGCCTACAGTGTTGTCTGGTGCCAGAGTTGCCCTACATCTCCAAAGATGAAGACAACCTCTTTAGAGGCTTCCTACCAGTGATGGAAGACTGTAACAGCAACTTCTTTGATTATTATCTCATTGTATATCTTCTTACCCTCTTACATCTCCTAAACCTGTAGGCTTGCCCTGACACCCACTCAAGGCTACAGAAACGTTTCTGACCCAGACCCTCTGGCAAGTTCCTTTAATAATAAGCAGAGGATTTGTCCTTCTTTGTAGCCTCCTGAGATTGAGCCCTTGAACAAGTCTCTCCACCCTATCCAAGATGGGGAAAAGGAATCTCTGTTGTACTTTTCTCCCTCTTGCTCTCCAGCAGGATTTTTTGTTAGAGTAAGAGAGGGAGCCACAGACACCTTTCTGATTCCTTCTGCCAGGAAGGAAGATAATGCCGTCCCCAGGTAATCAGACATGATGGCAAGAGGTCTGCCAGCCTGGGTCTGTTCACAACTGCTCGATAAAGGTATTTGGCTGTGCTGTTCTGTGAGGGAGGGGGTGCCAGTGGCTGGCCCTTGTGCAGGCTACAGGTCTGCGAGAAGCCAAGAGGAGCCATCCCAGCAGCGCCATGCCACCCCATGAGGCGAACCTGTGTCCAGGCCCTGCTCAGCATGCAGCTATGGAGCTGGCTTTGCCTTGTACCATGTGTCTTTGGTTTCTTTGCCTTCAGCAAAGTTTTGGTGCAACCTGTGCCCACAACCCAGGGAAGGTCTTGGATCAGAGCTGTGCTTGTTCCTGCATGGTGTATTTCATCCTCCTGTTCTGCTTGACGCATCTACCCTGTGGTGCTCAGTGGCTAGGGGAATAAGCCAGCCCTAGCCCTCACATGGCTAGGGGCAAGAATGAGCATCCCACCAGAGCAGCTTGCACTCAAGCTGCATTTCACATTGCTTGTGCTGGGCTGCAGTTTGAGCCCGCAGGAAATCATGGACAGGGAGAGCAGAGGGAATGGGCTGGAAGTGCAACATGGGGGTGGGGAATGCAATGGGGAACTTAGGAGATGTTAGTTGGAAGCACCCTGGCACTTTCTGTTGTCGTGCAAGTCCCTTCTCCACAGTGCCTCTGGGCTCCTGTCACATGTAAAGGAGAAGGCGCCCCGAGCTTCTCCGATCTGACAAACCTCACCCGCCCCTTCCTCCTCCCCCTCAGACTGCGTCCTTCTGGATACAGCTCTATGGGCAGATAGACATGATCTGAATTCACTGCTTCACCCGGCCGGGGTCCTCATACCTCTTGTCTCCACCCCAGCCTCCCTCCATCCTTTGGCTTGGGGACAGAGCTCAGGAAGGGAATTCTTCCCTGCAGCCTCCCTCCCTGCATGGCTTTGCATTTGGATTTGCTTATTTTTCCTCTCTCATTAATTTTTAATTAAGGAGAGGTCTCCTTCTCCAATTGTAATGAATAGCTGTGTGAAAGACTTTTCATTCTTTATTAATATATATCTCTATATATTTATCTACTTGGAGGAAATGTGTGCGTGTGTGTGCGTGAGTGTGTTTAAAACATCCCCCATTAATTTACTGCTATTGATTTTCTGGCGTGGAGACAGAATATAGTATTCAGCATAGAGCTCCTCTGCAGGATATGTTAAAAGGCAGCAGTTTGGGTTGACAAAGGGCACTAAATGCAGTATGCGTCAAATAGACCATCGCTCAATGAAGTCACTTAGCTATTCAAAACATGTCCAGCCATCACTCAACCGCTTGCACCAAGAATGGGGGGGGAAATTCGTGCTTCTTCCCAGACACAACCATTTCCAAACAGCAGCTTTAGCTTGCTTTGGTGAGAGACATTAGTACATACATAGTTTATTCCTCCCTCCTCCCCAGCATTCCATCTCCCAGTACCGGTCTCAGAAAAGCAGTTCTGCGGTACCCACTTCCCATTCTCTCCCATCAGGGAGATCAAGGCACACCCTGCTCTGGTGGACACTGCTAGACACATACGTTATCTGCAGATGTCCATAAGCCCCTGGCAACCCACCCTCCAACCGAAAGTTGATTCATAAGCAGGGGTTTTACAGTGGGCTGTAATGTGCGCTCTTGTGCTCTCACTCTCTCCTTCTCGCTATGTGTATAAGATAAAACATGCATTTACATCAGTTGCCCCTATCCCCTCCAGCACAGGCTGAAGACCACCTCCCCAGCCCACACGTACGCCAATAGCAGTACTGAGCAACACACATTTAAAAGCGAATCACTGGCCCCTCTTTTCTTTCCTCTCCTCCCTTAGGAAGTCTGATTCCAGAAGTTGGCTGCGGTGGTGTCTCTTCTGACATCAGACATATCACTGAGTTGCTGTTCAGTTTCAATCAGACTTAGGCTAATTTTCCATTCAGAGACTCATTTATTTTTAGCGTTTTTCATAAACCTTAAAAAGAAAGCCCCAAACAAACACCTTCCCCAACAACAAACAAGTTGGAGGAGAACCTTTCTTTACCCCCAAACAAACCAATCATCCACCAAATAGACCTCTCTGCACCCAACTGATGAGAAGTGGTTGCTCGCAGGCATTACGAAATGCTCAGAACTCTGCTTGAGGTGACTGGAACCGTTAGATATGTCATACAAGGCATTTTTGACATAACAGGGTTGCTTCCTTTTCTCTCCTTTTGCCTCCTGAAGTGAACTGGTTTTTGTAGCTGGAGTGTGTTATTGTTACCCCTCCCCATATTGCCCCTTACCCCGTCTTGTCTTTGCAAACAAGCCTTTTGCAAAGAAAACATTTCAGTCTGTGGTTACAGCTGGAGCACAGTAATAACACAGCATTTCAGCATTGCTTTTCCAGACAATACAAACAGTCTGAAGACAGGCAGACTGCACAGTTGCTTTTTGAAAGGGTCTATTGATGTTTTTGTAGCACACATCATTCTACTTGGGGATGGTGGGGAGTGAATTTCAGGGAGTCCTATGGGAGGGTGGGGAAAAGGGAAGAAGGGAACAGAGCAGAGAGTGTTTCACCTATCTTCTTGCCTCTCTGCCCTGAGTAACGGAGCCCACTGCTCTTGCTCTGTGGTGGAAGGAATGAAATGAGAAAATGGTGGAATGTGGAGGGGGGCTGGTGGGGAGGAGGGGGAGACATGGGGTGGTGGGAGAGGAGAGGGAGGGGAAGATCCGGAATCAAATACCTTCCAGGCAGCAGGTTCTCCATAATCCAGAATGGGTCATGACTTCCTCGTTCTTTTTGCTGGTTTCGTTCTCACTGACAGTTTTAGTCTTGCAAACCCCTCTGGAGTAAAGCCAGTAGTCGGTCCCCACAGCTATGGTCATCAGGCTGAAGGCAGCGAAAGCACCAACGGTGGTTAAAAGCATCTGAACACCTCTGTCAAAGAGCCCCATAATTCTTCATTATACAAATACCCAACCGCCTTCTGATTCTTGGGGTGTGTGTGTTTAATAAAATAAAAGAATAATATTTCCGACTAATAATATAATGGGTATTTATAGAGAGATAGATATCAAAAAAGGGAGGTAAGAAAGCCCACGGAAAAGAGTGTAAATTAGAAAGACCACACGGGAAGAGGCTTGCCTTTAAATCGGAAACGTTCTGGTTGAAATATAAAAAAAGGAAAAAGGAAAAAAGAAAAAAAGAGAGAAAAGAACCAAGAAAAAAACCAAACAAATAAATAGAGAACCCCCCCCAAAACGAGACGCCTTAATCCCTTTTTCTAAAATTCTGGTCTCCAGTTTCCATATGTAATGGCTAATTTGGAGATGGCTTCCACAGTGAACGGGGGAGCAGCAGCAGCATCCTCAACACAATCTCTCATTATCTGGACCTAGACAGTTAGAGACTGTAAGAGCAGAGATGCAACCTTCAGTCTTCTTGCTTAGCTCTGCAGCCTGCGCCATGAAAATCCTTTTCCTTCCCAGTTATCTTCCTTGTGTTTTTATTTTTTTTTTAATTTTTTTTCCCCCAGCAGTGGCGGTCGCTCCGATCCTCTCTCACTTTTTTTTTTTTTTTTTTTCCTTGCTGGCTTCTCCTTTCCTTCCGTTCGCTCCTACCACCAAGCCAGACTGCCCAGTATACTGTAAGCCCTTGATTTCAGCTGAACAGGTGCCGAGGTCTCGCCTCCCATGGCTTTTCCGCGCAGCCCCGGCGCTCGCTCCTGGCGGAGGTGGGCGAGGAGAGGGAGGGGGGCTCCCGGAGCAGGAGGAGGAAGAGGAGCAGGGGGGCACGGGCGCGGCGCCCCTCACGGGCCGG